TTTTCAGATTCCTTATGTCCTCATCACAAATAGCCCTTCCACCAATTTTTGTATCATCGGCCTCCCCCATTTCCTCCATGTTGTAACTATAGATAGTAAGTAATTGAGGGCCTAGGACTGATTCTTTTGGCACTCTCCCAGTTACATCTTTCCAACCTGAAGAAGATCCATCAATCCTAACTCTTTGTGTGTTGAACAATCCTCAATCTGTGCTAATATATTACTGTGAGCTCCTATCTTGTGCAGTCATCTTTTATGAGGTGCCTTATTAAATGCCTGCTAGAAATACAAACGCACATCTATTGGTTCTCCGTTATCAATTCAGCTCTTTAAATTCTTCAGCAGCCATGAGCTAATTTATCAAGCATGATCTCCCTTTCACAAAACCATGTTGACTGATTGTGTTATGGTCTTCTAAATGACCTGCTATTTTTTTCCTGAATAATGGACTCCAGCATTTTCCCAATGACACCTGTTGGGAGTTTGTTTGAAGAAATGCAGTTGTGTCCTATTGTTTCGGTTGGTTTGATGTCACCAGGTGACCTCTACCTCTGCTGTAAGTGCGTTTGTGTGGAGATGTAGTAGCCATTGCACACAGCACTTAGAAAGTAGCGTCTGAAGTGGAGCAGCTGAAGGTGGATGGATTTTCGGATTTGTTGGTGAGTCAGCTACTGACAGAAATAACCAGGAAAAATTCTGCAACTTTTGAATACTGGGTGAATCAAAACAGCCGCTGTAGAAATTAAACGAAATATAAATCAAAGTATCTTCTGGGAATCTGAGAGAGTTCCAGAAATCTGAATCTTTAACTTACTCTTAAACTCTGAAAGCTGAAATCTTACCTCCACAAGTAATAACTGATTTTCCTTCTGAACTGGTCTGATTTGAACACCTCATTGATTCTATGACTGTCAGCATTGCAATGTCGATGACAGGAAACCAACTGGACCTGGAGATTCACCAGGTTTTTGCTTGTTAAAGATTCAACTAGAGGCAGCCAGTTTTAGGGTTGTTGCCTTTCTGCTTATAAATTCTGTGTCTTATGCCCTCTCTCTCTCACACTATGCCTGAGGAAGGAGCTGAGCTTCAAAAGCTTGCGTTTTCAAATAAACCAGTTGGACAATAGCCTGGTGTCGTGTGATTCAATATGTACTGAATAAGTCTAAAAGTTATTCCTGAAATTAGGTTGAAACTGTGAATGGAAAAGCAAGTGCCGTTAACAGCAATACAGGTGTTCCTGTGGAAACTGCTAAAACTTGCCAACACATAAAGAGATAGTAGGAACTGCAGATGCTGGAGAATCCAAGACAACAAGGTGCAGGGCTGGATGAACACAGCAGGCCAAGCAGCATCATAGGAGCAGAGAGGCTGACGTTTCGGGCCTAGGCCCTTCATC